AGTTTTAAGATGGCATTGGGCATTGGGTAATAGCTTCAGATCCTGAGAGAAAGAAGCCCGTACCGGCACCAGCCGGCGCACTGGCAGCAGCTGATGCCGGACCGCTCGCTCCGCCCGGTGACGTGGTAAGACCCGCTGAGTCGTCCCCCACTCTGCTGAGTGGCTGCTCTGTGCCGAGCCAGCACACCCTCAGCACGGGCAGCATGACGTGCGCCTGCTGAATCGGCCCTCGAGCCGACCCGTCGCGCCGGCACAGCAGGGCCAGCTGCGCCGGAGGTCGCCCGAGAGCTCAGGTGGCGTCACCACACGCAGACGGGGCTTGTCGTGACGCCGCAGGATATAAGCCAGGCAGGAAACAGCAGGAGTATAGCGGCCGTGCTGGCGACAGGGCAGGTGGGCGAATACAGCGTCCGCATCGCGCAGGACGCGGCAGATCCCCGACCGGCCGGCGTGCCTGACAGATCAGCCTCGATCGCCATCAAGATCAAACAGCCTAAAAAGTCTAAGGATCTTCTGGAGGAAGTTCGAACAATGCAGCGGCTGGCTGCCTTTGTTCGACCGGCAGGGAGCGGCGCACGGCCGACACGGGCCCCCCGAGATGCCGGCGGCCCTCGACGGTCAATCACTGCACCGCCGGGACCCGGTCGGCTGTGGCCGTGATCGATGGTCAGGCCATGACGCCGGTCGGGGACGGGACGCCGCGGGGGTCGCGGGGGCTGACAGACGCCGCCTCACGCCCCGGCATGGTCACGGAATGTGACCTCGGCGGCTCACGGGGCGGTGACAGCACGGAGCGGCTGCTGTATGTCGAACAGGGGGTCGGGGACCATACGGCCTTGGTAGCTGGTGTCATTAGGACGTCGGAAGAGAGCTCCGAAACCTCTTGTCCACAAGCGTCTTGCAGATTCTGGACGAGTCCACTAAGAACCGGAGTGTCGGTCAACTGAGAAGGGCCGCCCGCCAGCCCCGCCCCGGCTGCGGTCACTCCGTGCGCGCCGCACGAATCTGCGAGTAACATCTCAGCCTCCGGCGCCGAATTATGCCATGTCAGACCTTCGGACCGCATATGTCCGAGCCTAGGGCGCTGCGAGCGGCGGCCGCCCGCTGAGAACAGAGGCCGCGGTCGTGGACAAGGCGAGGCATTTCCGGCGGTCGTGGAAGTTCCGTCGCTCCGCCGCCGACCTGTGCCCCGTCGGACCGCCTCCCACTCCGGGCGGTGGTTAGTGGTCAGCGCGACCGTGATCTAGTAGTCAGTTCTGCTCCATGTTCGGTGCTTAGTTCAGCTCCGGCTCTGGAATCATCCGGGGAAGAGAGCAAGCGCGGAGCCCGCGGGCGCACACATTCTCCCTAGAACCAGTCGAAACAACCCCTGCGCCCCGCCGCCGCCGCCGCCGCCGCCGCCACAGAAGACCATCGAGACGCCGCAAATTCATAAAACGTGACAGCACTGCGGGCGGTGACTGTCTCTCCTTGTTCATGGGGGAGTTTTGCAGTCCCGTCGTGAGTCGGCAGACAGGCGGCACTGCGTCAGACGTCTGCTCAGAGCTCAGACGTACCGCCGGCCGCCCGAGGTCCGTCCCGTCCGCAGTGTGATGGGTGTGATCACTACCGTGGGGCGCGGTTTTTTGTCGTCCACCTATCGGCCGGTAAGTGCTAACCGGCGCGGCCGTCCGGGTGGTAAGTGGCGGTCGTGTGACCGGTACAGGCCGGTCGGTAACAAACGGCCACTGCCGGCCGGCCGGAGGACCGGAGGATTACAGAGCACCGCCCCGCCGACCGGGCGCCGGGGGTCAGTGGTGCCGGTCCGGCCCCGCCACCCGCGAGAACCGACAGCACTGGTCGGACACAGAGGGCAGGCCAAATCGTATGATTTGGTATGGGGTATGGTACAAGGGGTATGGTATTGTGATCATACCATGTCGCAGCGCCCTACAGGCTACAACATAGTTTTCTCGAGCTAGCTCTACTCAAAGAATCGGTGCACTTGATCTGTGCCCATTTACTTCATATCACCTTCTACCTGACGCAATACGACGCGATACCAAAATCATCACCATTTTTATCATTGACCACTTGCGACCTGAGAGCCCACGCCATCCCCACGTGACCATCGGTGACCGGTCACTATCGACCAGAGTCGGTCCGTGGGGGTCTGCCGGACACCATTAGCGCCTTGATGGCGGATGTGGGCACTGCGGGCGGCTGGGACTGCCGCAGGGACCGCCGCTGGGACGTCCGGCCGCCGCCGCCAGACCATCGTTTTGTGCCGCCGCCGCCGCCGGGGCCGCCGCTGGCTGGAGGCGTCTCAGACAGTCCTTGACGACGACACGGCCGCCCGCCCCCAGCTGAACAGCAGACGGCGGCGGTCGCACGGCACGAGACGGTGGCAGAGGCAAGGCTGGGGGTGCAGCGGTGACAGTGGGAAGGCTGGGGGCGCAGCGGCGCGGTGCGCGCGGTGGCAGGGCTAGGGGTGCAGCTTCGCGGCGGTGGCAAGACCAGGGGCCTGGTGGTGGCGGGAAGGCCAGAAACTGCGGTGACTGCGGCGGGGCTGGGGATCCAGCGGTAGCAAGGACGACGGTGGAGCTGGGCAAATTGTCGAGTTTATAAAGTTGACGCTTGTTTCTTCATCAGGGCAAAACAAAGCGTAAGATGCAGCCCAGTCACTAAGCAGTAGGCACGCCACATCCAAGTTCCAACCAGTCCGCTTTTGAGTTCGAACATAGCCGTCTAGGAGAATGGGTCCCTAGGCAACGCGACATGGAGACTTCTGCCGCACCCTGGCCGCCCGACGCAGTGGGCTCGCGTCTTCTCAGTTGTCGGCTCTGGGATTCTCTCAGAAATCGTTACTCGGTCCGCAGCTTCTGTCAGAATCTGCCGTTGGGATCAAGGTTTCTGTCAGAATTGCCCGATCGGCTCGTGGTTTCTGTCAGAACTCGCCGTTGGGCTGGTGGACTTTGTCAGAATTTCGCGGCCGGCGGCTCGATGCGTGTGGTCCTGGTGGCATGACCGTCGCCCGGCGAGTCAGACGGCGCCAGGGGCCGTAAATCCACCAACTGACGTCACAGACATCACACAGACGTCACCGCCGGTTCGCGGAGCCCTAATTGGCTACGCGTGATTCGGGTCGAACGCTGCGAGAGCGGCATATCTTAGAGAGATAGAGAGAGCCGGTTGAGAGAGTCGGGGAGAGGTTCCTATCCCCGACTTCTCTAAACCAGGTCAGTGACCTCATGTTGACAAATGAGTGACTAACTTTATATCATTTCACTTCAAAGTCGGGCGATGTCGTTTTTATGAGTTGCGTTGGCGCACGCACTGAAGGTTTCACAGCTCGTGAAAATTCAGTTGCTGACATGTCAGCTCGCAGAGCGGCTTGGGAGCACCGTGCCGCAGTCCAGCAGGCCAAGTTCAAACAATCACGTGAGTTAGAGCCCGTTTACAGTTCTATATACAGATATATCCACGGTAAAGTATGCAGGATGGCGAACGACTGACGACGCAGTCAGAAATACCAAACCAAAACCGCGATGCTTACCAATGCCTAGAACCTTTCACAGTAAGGCACACGTACAGCCCACCGCTGAAGTAATGTAGGGTTTTACCAATCTCAACGATTGGCTTTGACTGGCGATTGTTTAATGCGGAGTGATCGAAAAGAAGATGTCAATAGCTAAAATTGCAGCTGCAAGGGTGACGATACATATAAGCTACATTCAAAGTTTCATTGTAGTTTGGCTAATCGTTCCTAAGCTTCAGAAGCAGAACATACCCATGACTGAAACCGCACATTACTTCTGCTGTGGACTGTACTTCTCAATCGTTTACTTATCGGTGACTCCTTTATCGGTGAGGCACAGCACGACGACGCAGCTCCAACAATGAATATCACTTTCCTCGACGCTAAAGATAAATGTTTACGGTGCAACCACCACGTAGGGAAGTCTGCGGAGGTGAATGGTTCAATTCCCCTAAATATCATATTTGACGCCATCTTTCAGCACTTACCGTCGCACTATCTCTCATTGTGTTTGACTTAATTTGCGAGGGCTGTCTTATTCCAACAATGAGCAATTTACCGCCATTTCGGTGCTAAGACACTTGGACCCGGAGATTTGGGCCACATTTGGCACGGTGACTGAAATTTGAAAAGAATACTCAACGCCCAGAAGACCCGGCTTTATGTTGCAATTTTTACCATTGAACGCCACCTACAAGCTCCACTGTTGCTCCACTTTCATATCATTCCTCTAAGACGTTAGAATAACGTTGCCAACCGTACGTATTCAGATGCTTAAAATATCTGACCGTTATGATTGTCGGCTAGTTTTCCTGTGACACAAGGTCCACAAAAATAAGCACTGAGCGCCCTAAGGTGAACATCATACGGAAACGACCTCGTGTTCCTCATCAGCTAACGGATACGAAACAATGCCACCAGGAACATTCAGTGTCCACCTTCGGTGCAAGGATGCCCCGCGATTGTAGATTCCCATCCGGCGTCGGATTTTTGTACTCAAGTACGGGTGTGTCACATCCGGGTCACTAGTACAAATGAAGATAGCTCTGGCAATCTGAACGATTGGCCAAGACTTCGATAAGTTCAAATGGCAGATATCTTGACGTAATGCATCATTAAGTGCTGCGTACAATTCTGACGCAAGAACACTCAATTTCAAGTTGCTGAATGAAATGAAGCAAGAGACAGTGTAAAGTTCACGAAGAAGATAAATGAAAATGCATCTTTTACTGTACCTACAGTAACACGACAGTTAGTTCAATCTTCGCCATATCAAACCTTTATCTATCCTCCTTTGCCTTCGTGACCGCCTGAAGGACGTTTTACAGCCCACTCCTCGTCCACGGATTTACCTCCGAGGCACGTCCCTGGCCCACGGCCGTTCGTCACGGCCCAGCGGGAGTGCGACGCCCGCACCCTCTCCCCAGGTCACCGGACGGGTCACGGCCTCCCTCCCGACCCCCGCCGAGATCTCGGCACTCACCGACTTGCAGGACGCTCTCCACACAGCCCGTCTCCAACAGGCGCACGCCCTTGTGGAACGGCAGGCTCTGGTAGTCCCCGTTGCCGCCGCTGCTGCTGCTGGCGGATGAGGCCGCCTTGCTGAGCGACGAGTACATGAAGATGTCATGCTCGTTGCGCGGAAAAGACCAGAAGATGATGCGCCGCTGCACGGGCTCCGGAATGCGCGCGTAGCGCTCCTCAATCCGCTGGAAGGGCACCGTCTCGGCCACGGCGCGCGCACAGATGTCCAGTAGAGGGTCGGGCGAGCGGCGTGCCGCTGCCGCCGCCGCCGGCCGCACTAGTCTCAAGGGCGCCTCCTGCACGGCAGCCATCTCGGCGCACCATAGACCCGGCCCGCTCCGCCGCCGTGAGCCGTCTGGCCGCGCCGCGCGCACCGCCACCCCCCGCGCCGGCCGCTCACATCCCAATGCTAATCAGCCCGCTCCCGGGCCTTTAACGGCGCAGTGCGCATGCGCGAGGGCCGGCGCCCAGCTGATTGGTGCGGCGGCCGGGCCGTTCGGTAAATTGGACCGGCAAGATAAAGTGGCCGCGCCTCTGCAGCCGCGAGAGGAGAGGGGCGGCGCCAGGCGACCCGCCGCCGAATCCGAACCACGGCTCCAGGCTGAGGCGGACTTCAGTCCACAGGGCAGTATTGCCTTCAATCATCGGGTTAGGTCTGTGAAACATAAACAGAGGTAAAATTAGGATATAACCGATATAAACACACCATCTTGGAGAGTCCATCAGCGGTGTTTTATACGATACTTTACTTATAAGTCCTTCTTATCACAGACAGTGTAAGCTGGGATTCTGCGAAAGCGTTTCAAAATAAGGTAGACAAAAAAAAAAGAAATACCTGCGGGTGTAAAAAAAAAATATTGAAACGCAAAGCTATGCGGGAAATCGTAACTCAAACAGGACACCAGCGGATACAAACGCAAATCAAAATGCATCCCGAACATGTTTGAAGCACTATTATTTCAAAAAAGGTGAAAACAAAATACATTCATCACAAAGTTACCTAATCCAAATTCCAATCATTCTTGAGAGTATGATCGGATGACATTCCGTGGCGTCATTTCAACTGCATGGTGCATGGTCTCAACTACCTCTAAATTGCAGAAGGCAGGCCACAGGACGGTCGTCCATGTTATCGTTCGGAGGTCGAGAGGTCCGGTGGTTGATGTCGGCGCTAGTTGGAGACAACGGACTCGGTAGGCATTCGACGTGGAATCTAATCCATGCGCCCTGGAAAACGAGGAAGCAATGAAACAGGAGGCATTCTGACAAACTGGACGTAGTGAGCGAGGGACTTGATGACCATGCCACCGAGGGTACGGCCCAGAGAATGTGTTACGAGAAAATTCGTTGAGCAACGAGCGAGTCACTCAAAACTAATGTCTTTCTTTGCTGTCTTCTCTTGGTCTAGTATTCACTGGCGGAAAATAGCTCTGGGTAGAATCTGAAAGATCATCGAGTAAGACAATTAACGATAAATGAACGAATTATGCTGATCACGAGTAAAAACTAAGTGGTGAAATAACAAACGTCTCGCGATATGAGAACCGTTTCATCGGGTAATATCAATATTCAGCGAAGGTGGCTCCAAGTATTAAGAATTACAGTAAAGTGCAAACTTTTATCTGGCATCTGGATCTGAGCCACGAAGGCCCCGACGCCAGCACTCCATGGTTAGGCCTCAACTCAACTTGACATTCGTCAATTTAAAGATTGACGAGATCATTGACATGCAGCATCAGTCATTGAATATAGGTCCTGAAAAATATATCTCAGGTTTGTTTGCAGCTTGAAAGGGATAAATTACATACGTATGTACTTTCATTTCATTCCACCGATATTGAATGGGGGGGGGCTCTTGGATGAAACCGATTTCTTTTGGCGCTCGGAGTCCGGAAAACAGAAAGGCATGAACTCTTTCGAGTCTGAGGCCAACAAGGAGCCCCGAGTCAAGAGGCCGACATGGGGCCTTTCGAAAACAGAGGCCGACATGGGGCCCTCAGTAGCAGGCATGGGGCCTCAGCCCTCAGAGGCCGGTGTGGAGGCCTCAGTGGCCGGCATGGCCATGGGGACCCAAGGTAGGCAGCGGCATGGAGTCCCCGGCGCCCGGCGGTCGGCTGCCGCGCGGTGGCTGACGTCAGGCATGGGGAGCTTAGAAGTCGGCGTGAAGCACTCAAACTTCAGAGACCAGCGTGGGGCCCACGCAGGGCTCATGGAGACCCTCAACTCTCAAGCAAGGCTGGTTTGGTCAGGGTGTGGTGACCGACGCGGGCCATTTCCTTCCGGGCCGGGCCATGGGTCCCGGATGGGTCCCGGCCGGAAGCCCTGTCACCAGTTTCATTTTTTTTGTAACCTGTAGCATCATCCACCCACACGTGAGTGGCGTTTGTGTATCAGACGTATGTAACTATCTCAATCTCCTTATTGACATTGTATCTTCGTGTCGGACCTCTCGATAGTCGATACCAATGCTTCTCCTTCCTGCACTGAATTTATTCATTCAGTAGTGTTATCAGTGCGTGAGATAGATGATCGCTCCGTTAGATACCTATCTATTATTGTTTATTGTCTACACTAACATGCAATAAAAACATTTTAAAAAATGCCAACTCCCATCCTCAGCGTCAGCTCTCAGCCAACACGATTACTCAACGCGCCAAAATTGCACTTTCTGCGCCATTGCAAATGCAGCGCCAATAATTGCTTGTACCTTTTTTGTCTGTAAATGTAAAATGACGTAATCAGTACTTATTACATTTCAGACGAAACGCCCTTCTATAGAACCTTTGCTCTGTTTGTTGCACTGAACTCTTACCGGGGTTACATGAGCAAGTAAATGCGTATCAGGAACGGATTTTATGTAACGGAAGTTAGCCCACATTCAGCCCACATTCGGCCCAGCCCAGATTGGGGCTGCCAAATCTAGGGAAAAATCTAGAAATCTAGGGAAAAATCTAAAAACCGTTTTACGCCTAAACGGCTGGAGGAAACTGAAAAATAAGACCACCATTTGAAAGATCTCTTCACCCCGGACCTAATGATATGGTTAAATACTGGATCAATTTAACCAAAAGCATGATTTAACCAGGATGAAAATTTTCGGTCAATGGGGCGGCCCCTACGATTTTCTTCAAAATCGGCATGGTGATACTACAGGCCCAGATGACCAATCTGGCTGAAGAAACCCCTATGGGCATTGAAATCTATGGGGTAAAAACACCCTTGGAAAGTTTTAGCCACGCATTTCTGGCAAGACTATCGCACGCATCCCCCCAATATGGGTATCATATGAAAGCCCATGAAAACCCAAACAAAATGGTGGGGTAAAATTTACCCATTACCCCATCCAGGGTAAAACTTACCCAAGATCAAAATTTTCGGTCAATGGGGCGGCCCCTACGATTTTCTTCAAAATCGGCATGGTGATACTACAGGCCCAGATGACCAATCTGGCTGAAGAAACCCCTATGGGCATTGAAATCTATGGGGTAAAAACGCCCTTGGAAAGTTTTACCCACGCATTTCTGGCAAAACTATCGCACGCATCCCCCCAATATGGGTATCATATGAAAGCCCATGAAAACCCAAACAAAATGGTGGGGTAAAATTTACCCATTACCCTATCCAGGGTAAAGTTTACCCAAGATGAAAATTTTCGGTCAATTGGGCGGCCCCTACGATTTTCTTCAAAATCGGCATGGTGATACTACAGGCCCAGATGACTAATCTGGCTGAAGAAACCCCTATGGGCATTGAAATCCATGGGGTAAAAACGCCCTTGGAAAGTTTTACCCACGCATTTCTGGCAAGACTATCGCACGCATCCCCCCAATATGGGTATCATATGAAAGCCCATAAAACCCAAACAAAATGGTGGGGTAAAATTTACCCATTACCCCATCTAGGGTAAAGTTTACCCAAGATGAAAATTTTCGGACAATGAGGCGGCCCCTACGATTTTCTTCAAAATCGGCATGGTGATACTACAGGCACAGATGACCAATCTGGCTGAAGAAACCCCTATGGGCATTGAAATCTATGGGGTAAAAACGCCCTTGGAAAGTTTTACCCACGCATTTCTGGCAAGACTATCGCACGCATCCCCCCAATATGGGTATCATATGAAAGCCCATGAAAACCCAAACAAAATGGTGGGGTAAAATTTACCCATTATCCCATCCAGGGTAAAACTTACCCAAGATGAAAATTTTCGGTCAATGGGGCGGCCCCTACGATTTTCTTCAAAATCGGCATGGTGATACTACAGGCCCAGATGACCAATCTGGCTGAAGAAACCCCTATGGGCATTGAAATCTATGGGGTAAAAACGCCCTTGGAAAGTTTTACCCACGCATTTCTGGCAAGACTATCGCACGCATCCCCCCAATATGGGTATCATATGAAAGCCCATGAAAACCCAAACAAAATGGTGGGGTAAAATTTACCCATTACCCCATCCAGGGTAAAACTTACCCAAGATGAAAATTTTCGGTCAATGGGGCGGCCCCTACGATTTTCTTCAAAATCGGCATGGTGATACTACAGGCCCAGATGACCAATCTGGCTGAAGAAACCCCTATGGGCATTGAAATCTATGGGGTAAAAACGCCCTTGGAAAGTTTTACCCACGCATTTCTGGCAAGACTATCGCACGCATCCCCCCAATATGGGTATCATATGAAAGCCCATGAAAACCAAAACAAAATGGTGGGGTAAAATTTACCCATTACCCTATCCAGGGTAAAGTTTACCCAAGATAAAAATTTTCGGTCAATGGGGCGGCCCCTACGATTTTCTTCAAAATCGGCATGGTGATACTACAGGCCCAGATGACTAATCTGGCTGAAGAAACCCCTATGGGCATTGAAATCCATGGGGTAAAAACGCCCTTGGAAAGTTTTACCCACGCATTTCTGGCAAGACTATCGCACGCATCCCCCCAATATGGGTATCATATGAAAGCCCATGAAAACCCAAACAAAATGGTGGGGTAAAATTTACCCATTACCCCATTCAGGGTAAAACTTACCCAAGATGAAAATTTTCGGTCAATGGGGCGGCCCCTACGATTTTCTTCAAAATCGGCATGGTGATACTACAGGCCCAGATGACCAATCTGGCTGAAGAAACCCCTATGGGCATTTAAATCTATGGGGTAAAAACGCCCTTGGAATGTTTACCCACGTATTTCTGGCAAGACTATCGCACGCATCCCCCCAATATGGGTATCATATGAAAGCCCATGAAAACCCAAACAAAATTGTAGGGTAAAATTTACCCATTATCCCATCCAGGGTAAAACTTACCCAAGATGAAAATTTTCGGTCAATGGGGCGGCCCCTACGATTTTCTTCAAAATCGGCATGGTGATACTACAGGCCCAGATGACCAATCTGGCTGAAGAAACCCCTATGGGCATTTAAATCTATGGGGTAAAAACGCCCTTGGAATGTTTACCCACGTATTTCTGGCAAGACTATCGCACGCATCCCCCCAATATGGGTATCATATGAAAGCCCATGAAAACCCAAACAAAATTGTAGGGTTAAATTTACCCATTATCCCATCCAGGGTAAAACTTACCCAAGATGAAAATTTTCGGTCAATGGGGCGGCCCCTACGATTTTCTTCAAAATCGGCATGGTGATACTACAGGCCCAGATGACCAATCTGGCTGAAGAAACCCCTATGGGCATTGAAATCTATGGGGTAAAAACGCCCTTGGAAAGTTTTACCCACGCATTTCTGGCAAGACTATCGCATGCATCCCCATAATATGGGTATCATATGAAAGCCCATGAAAACCCAAACAAAATGGTGGGGTAAAATTTACCCATTACCCCATCCAGGGTAAAACTTACCCAAGATGAAAATTTTCGGTCAATGGGGCGGCCCCTACGATTTTCTTCAAAATCGGCATGGTGATACTACAGGCCCAGATGACCAATCTGGCTGAAGAAACCCCTATGGGCATTTAAATCTATGGGGTAAAAACGCCCTTGGAATGTTTACCCACGTATTTCTGGCAAGACTATCGCACGCATCCCCCCAATATGGGTATCATATGAAAGCCCATGAAAACCCAAACAAAATTGTAGGGTAAAATTTACCCATTATCCCATCCAGGGTAAAACTTACCCAAGATGAAAATTTTCGGTCAATGGGGCGGCCCCTACGATTTTCTTCAAAATCGGCATGGTGATACTACAGGCCCAGATGACCAATCTGGCTGAAGAAACCCCTATGGGCATTGAAATCTATGGGGTAAAAACACCCTTGGAAAGTTTTACCCACGCATTTCTGGCAAGACTATCGCACGCATCCCCCCAATATGGGTATCATATGAAAGCCCATGAAAACCCAAACAAAATGGTGGGGTAAAATTTACCCATTACCCCATCCAGGGTAAAACTTACCCAAGATGAAAATTTTCGGTCAATGGGGCGGCCCCTACGATTTTCTTCAAAATCGGCATGGTGATACTACAGGCCCAGATGACCAATCTGGCTGAAGAAACCCCTATGGGCATTGAAATCTATGGGGTAAAAACGCCCTTGGAAAGTTTTACCCACGCATTTCTGGCAAGACTATCGCACGCATCCCCCAATATGGGTATCATATGAAAGCCCATGAAAACCCAAACAAAATGGTGGGGTAAAATTTACCCATTACCCTATCCAGGGTAAAGTTTACCCAAGATGAAAATTTTCGGTCAATGGGGGGGCCCGTACGATTTTCTTCAAAATCGGCATGGTGATACTACAGGCCCAGATGACTAATCTGGCTGAAGCAACCCCTATTGGCATTGAAATCTATGGGGTGAAAACGCCCTTGGAAAGTTTTACCCACGCATTTCTGGCAAGACTATCGCACGCATCCCCCCAATATGGGTATCATATGAAAGCCCATGAAAACCCAAACAAAATGGTGGGGTAAAATTTACCAATTACCCCATCCAGGGTGAAGTTTACCCAAGATGAAAATTTTCGGTCAAAAAATTTTCATATGATACCCATATTGGGGGGATGCGTGCGATAGTCTTGCCAGAAATGCGTGGTTAAAACTTTCCAAGGGCGTTTTTACCCCATAGATTTCAATGCCCATAGGGGTTTCTTCAGCCAGATTAGTCATCTGGGCCTGTAGTATCACCATGTCGATTTTGAAGAAAATCGTAGGGGCCGCCCCATTGACCGAAAATTTTCATCTTGGGTAAACTTTACCCTGGATGGGGTAATGGGTAAATTTTACCCCACCATTTTGTTTGGGTTTTCATGGGCTTTCATATGATACCCATATTGGGGGGATGCGTGCGATAGTCTTGCCAGAAATGCGTGGGTAAAACTTTCCAAGGGCGTTTTTACCCCATAGATTTCAATGCCCATAGGGGTTTCTTCAGCCAGATTGGTCATCTGGGCCTGTAGTATCACCATGCCGATTTTGAAGAAAATCGTAGGGGCCGCCCCATTGACTGAAAATTTTCATCTTGGGTTAACTTTACCCTGGATGGGCAATGGGTAAATTTTATCCCACCATTTTGTTTGGGTTTTCATTGGCTTTCATATGATACCCATGTTGGGGGGATGCGTGCGATAGTCTTGCCAGAAATGCGTGGGTAAAACTTTCCAAGGGCGTTTTTACCCCATAGATTTC